TGCACCCTCCTGGGGCTCCCCCTGGGAATCCACTTCCCCAGGCCCCGAGCTCACGGCGCCTTCCCAGGGGGGCCACGCAGGCCGAGCCCCGAGCGCCCCCGCCCCCCATCTCCCACTTCCTTTTACTCCACAGGACGCGTTTCCACCTGGCGTTAGAATGGTCGCTTGGTATTTACTTGTTCACGGTCCGTGCCCCGCACGGAACATCCGCCCCCATCTGTCGCCTTCCCCACTGAGCCTCCGGCTCCCCCCTGGGGCCACAGAAATGTGTGACATACGTGGTTCTACGAATCCCACCCTTGGGTCCCCGCGTGGCTGGGCAGTGCAGGTGGGTCCCGGGCAGGGCACAGCAGCGCCGCCCAGAAGAAGGGGAGAGAGAAAGAGGGGCGGCCCGGGCGTGGCCGTGGGAGGGACGGAGAGCAGAGCTCCGTGGGCAGACATTACAAATGCAGGCCACGCGCCTGCTGGGCTGGGCTGAAACCAGACGTCCCCGCCGCTCGGTGATCGCAGGGCCGCTCCTCCCGCACGCAGGCAGCCGCGGCGAAACCTCCCCGATTCCTTCCAAGCAGGTCCCACCTCCTGCTTCCCCCACCCACCGCCACCCCACCCCCAGGCTCCGGATGGGGGTCCCCCTCGGGCCCCTCCTCTGACCTCTTTCTCCCATGGCAGCCAGGCCTGACTGTGCGTGAGCCACAAACACGAGAACCTTCCGGAGAACCTTCTTAAACGGAATTTGTAAAAACAGCGCTGCCCTTGGTTAAACCGTGGGCGCGGACAAACACCTGTCACATCGTGCCCTGCATTTCCTGTAGGGCTGAGATCACAGTGACATGGGTGACGCTGCGGGGTGACAGCTCCTGGGGCCGCACTTCAGGAAAGTCTTTGGGGCACAGCGGGCCTTCCCCTGGGAACCCATCCTGTAGGTGACGTCACCTACAATGTCCGGAGCAGCGGCAGGGGAATGACCCCGGCCTGGAGCCCCCCCAGGGCCAGCCGCGCGCACAACAGACTGTGCCGGGGCCGCACTCGGAGCGCCGCCCGGGGAAGGCACCTGCGCCGTGGGCTGGACCACATGACGTCAGCATCAGCATCACAGTTCACGAAGTAACAGACGCACTGCGGTGATGTGAGAATGTCCCGGTCCCTACGAGACGGGGTGTGAAAGGACCACGTCTCCAACCAGCTCTCAACGGGTCAGGAAACGAGCGTCTGAAATGCACGCGTGTGCGGACGGATGGACAGACAGAGGACAGACAGAAGAAAGGAGGGAGGGAGACGGGGAGGAGGGAACCACAAAGCTGATGGGCTGTGAGGCTGAGTCAAGGTTGCACAGAGTCCTTTACCGTTTTTCAGCTGCCTTCTAAGTTGTAAATTATACGAAAAGAAAACACAGTAGCTGCTGGGGAGGCTCGGCTCGCACAGGCTGGGGACCGCCGCGTGGGTGTCAAGGCAACGCCCGCAGGGTCACCCGGCGTTTCCGCTCCTCGATACATCCCGGCGGAGACGGGAACACGGGTGCCTCCCGACTCGGGTGGAGGCCACACTGCCCCCGCCTGGAAATGACTCACACGCCCATCGAGGGAAGGACAGGAAAGCACCCTGGGCGCTGTCACCCAACGGAGCTCCGCGAGGAATGAGGCGCCCAACCCGCCGCTCCGCGGGCAGCGCGGGTGCATCTCACAGACATGACGTCGCGCCCAGGAAGCCGGACACCACACAGCTGGGGCTCTGCGCAGGGGCGGGGCTTGGGGCGGCTGGGCCTGTCGCTGCTCCCTCGGGATCCCGGGCCTGCACCTACGCTCCGCTGAACGCTTCTCATGCGCGCCTGTTCCCTTGCCCATGAAATCGTTCAATAAAAAGTTGAAAACTGGGAAGTCCAAAAGAAAAGGCTCCTACATAGTTTTTAAACGTAAAAGACGAAGTCAGTGTTTCACCCGCGGGGACTAGGCCAGGGGACGCAAAGACCTGGAAGGTGTCGGGGCCTCTGGGAAGCGAGGCAGTGCCATGGGAGGGAGGTTGGGGGCCAGCAGGGGGTCCAGGGCTGCCCAGCACCCAGCACAGCCCCACTCACACCATGGAGCAGGGCCCTGTGCCCACAGCCCAGGAGGCGACAGTGGGTCCCACAGTATCAGGAGATGCCCCGGACGAAGGGTGGGCACATGCCAAGTCCAGTGACCTGAACCAACCTCTGCCAGCCCCAACAGCGGGCGCCCGCATGTCCAGCCCCCATGGTGGCAGTGAAGGCCAGCAGCTGCCTCCCGCAGCCGAGAGCCCGGCTCACTCGGTCGGTGAGGCCGGCCCTCCTCTGATCCAGAGGCGCCGCAGTCCCTGAAGGTGGCGTGAGGAGCTCAGCAGATCCGTTTTCCACCCGCTGTCCCCAGCCCCGCACCAGGAGGAGGGCAGAGGGAGCGGCCCTGACCGCGTTACTCCCCAGGGCGGCTGCAGCCTCGGCCTGGACACCCGGCCCACCCAGCCGGGTGCTAGCGCCGCACACTTGGAGCCTGGAATCTGAGCCTGGGCACCACACGAGGGGCTCACTCCCAGGGAGGGGCGCAGGCGGCCCCCTACCGCCGGGCCTCCCGTGGAGCGCAGCGCGGGCGATGAGCCGCGTGGAAATCAGGCCAGGGTAGCCGCTCTGGAATCTCCATTTAACAAACGGGACCCACCTCAGGACACCCGTGCGGAGCCGCCAGGCACCGACTCTCAGGCCCAGGCCTCACACACAAAGCAGGGGTCCTTTGTTATCTAATAACAAAGGGCAGGTGCACTTTCCACCCACATCCTCAACACTGAGGCCCAGCCCACCCCGGCCAGGTTCCAGCAGCCAGAAGCCGACTTGCCCTGGGAGGCTGAGGGGCGCCCTCATCACGGATGAAGCCCGGGGCTCTGCCAGACCATGCCCCACTGGCACAGCCAGCTGGGGGGGGCGGGGCGGAGCTGACCCGGTGCCCACTCAGGCCAGGTGTAGAGAACAGCAGCTGAGGCCATCGGCCAGTCACTGTCGTCACTCAATGTTCTAGTAAAGGAAGGATAGGCTGCTTTATGTACCTCCTGGGGGGTGGGGCAGAAATTCCCCAAGGTCTTAGCCAACAGGTCGGGACAGGCCTGAGCCCGGGAAGCTGCTGCCGGGCGGGGCGGGAGGGCCGCCCACTACAGGGGGCTTCCAGTTGTGCTCCATTCAGATACAAGCTGGTTCTGATAGACAAGCCGGAGTGCACCCCGGGAAGGAGGGATGAATGGGGTGCCAGGCAGAGGCTCTACAAGGAGGCCTGTGTCCGGAAGCCCAGGATGAGTCAGACTGCGGGAGGCGGCCCAGAGGGCGGGGACCAGGTACAGCTGCCCAGGGGCCTGGCAGGTTTATAGCAGCAGCTGAGGTGCCGGGCACACTGGAGCCACCAAGTCACGGAGCAGCATGCTCCCTGCCCTGCTTCTCCTGCCCAGCCTCCTGGGGGCCACCCTGGCCAGCCCCATCCAGGGCCCCCGGGAGTGCGCTCGGGGCTCAGCAGTGTGGTGTCGGGACCTGCAGGCGGCCGCCCGGTGCGGGGCCGTGGGGCACTGCCGGAGCGCCGTCTGGAGCAAGCCCACCACCAGGACCCTGCCCTGCGATGTCTGCCTGGACGTGGTGGCTGCTGCCGGCAACGGGCTGAACCCCAACACCACGGACGACGACATCCTGGCTCTGGTGACAAAGACCTGCGAGTGGCTTCCCAGCCAGGACGCTTCAGCCAAATGTAAGGAGATGACGGATGCCCACAGCTCAGCCATCCTCGGCATGCTCGAGGGGGCCCCGGACAGCGCCCCGGCAGAGGTGTGCACCGCGCTCACCCTCTGCCAGCCACTGCAGAGGCTCCCGGCCACCCCGGCCACCCCGGAGTCCCTCTCCCAGGAGGACACATCTGAGCTGGTGGCCCCGTTCATGGCCAACGGGCCCCTCAGCTTCCACCTCCCGCAGATTCCTGAGGATACTGTGTGCCAGAACTGCGTCCAGCTGGTCACCCGGCTCCATGAGGAGGTTGGGTCCAATGTGTCCGCCTTGGCCGATGCAATCACGCAGGAGCAGTGTAAGTCCCTGGGGCCGGGCCTGGCTCTCATCTGCAAGGACTACATCCTTCAGTACCTCGCTCCTGGGGAGCACATGCTGAAGCTCGTCCTGCCCGAGGAGACCTGCAAGAAGGGGGGCTTCTGCGAGGAGCTGCCCACTCAGGACTGGGTCCCTGCCCTGGAGCCGCTGTCCCCGGGGAAGAGGAATGAAATGCAGATGAAGGCCGGCCTGACCTGCGAGGTGTGCCTGCAGGTGATCCAGGAGCTGGACCAGTGGCTGGACTCCAACAGCACCGAGGCCCTGATCAGCCATGCCCTGGAGCGCGTGTGCGGGGTGATGCCCACGTCCATCGTCCAGCAGTGCGTCGCCATGGTGGACGCCTACAGCCCTGCCCTGGTGGAGTTCGTGACCAGAGTGCCCCCGGAGAAGGTGTGCAGGGCCGTGCGGCTCTGCAGCAGCCAGCGGCGGTTGGCCCGGGCTCTCCATGAGGCACGAGCCACCCCCCTGCCTCCCCTGCTGGACAACAGGGACAACCAGGGCAGTTTCTGCAACGGGTGCAAGAGACTGCTGGGCGTGTCCGCCCGCAACCTGGAGCGCAAGAGCACCAAGCGCGGCATCCTGCAGGCCTTCAAGGGGGGCTGCCGCATCCTGCCACTGCCCTACATGATCCAGTGCAACCGCTTCGTGGACCAGTACGAGCCCGTGCTCATCGCCACCCTCGCGGAGATGATGGACCCCACCGCCCTGTGCGCCAGGGTGGGTGCCTGTCACGCCCCCAGGGCCCCGCTGCTGGGCAGCGACCAGTGCGTCATGGGCCCCAGCTTCTGGTGCCAGAGCCAGGAGGCGGCCGAGATGTGCGACGCCGTGAAGCACTGCCAGCTCCACATCTGGAAGATGGCACCCTTCCACGCTGCGGAGAGCGAGTGCCCGCAACCCAGCACCTGCTAGTGTCCCCGGAAGGCCCTGATCTCCCTGAGCCCCACAGGGACCCTCCGAGGTGGGTGCTGTCCCCATTCCCATTTCACAGATGAGAACTGAGGCTCTGGGCGGGGAGGCGGAGGAGCAGGGATGAAACTCTGATCCCCACCCTAACAACGTGCCTCCTGGCTTTGCCCTGTGAGTGCCTCCCCTGGACTGGAACCAGCTGCCAGGTACAGCCCCCGCCCCAGCCAACCGCCCCTCAGCCTCAACACGGTGATGGGCTGACGGGCGGGGGCCTGGCCTGGCCTTTGATGCCCCTTCTGCTCGATTCTGATGAGCTCCCAGCTAAGAGCCAGGCCAGAGTCCTGGCCGGGGTGAGAGGAGGCAGGGGCAGGGGGCGGGGGAGAGGGG